AATTAGTAACTGCTATCTATCCAATGGTTTTATTGCAAGTATTATTTTTGTTGGCAATGGGAAATTACATCGGAACTACAGTCAGTGCACTTGCCCGAGAGCAAAAAAACCGCATAAATTGACTGACCAGAGCAATCAGTGGAAAGTTCCAACTATTATGTTCCTTCTAAATTACCCCCTGCCTTTCCGTAGTTTGAGAGCTGTCAGTAAATGAATTAAGTACTAACATATCATGAATCGTCAATTTAATGTTTCTCATTGACAAATGGAGTTTGGATAATTAAATTCCCTATCATTTTGACTGGAGATTGTACAGGTCTAATCATTCGACAGCAAATAGCCCGGGACATGATTACATTACATCGTAAATTGTATTCAACTGCGATTTGATATACAAAAAGAAAAAAAAACTACCCCGATTATTACTTTTTAAATCTGTAATGTGGCAGAAAATCTAAAAGTTCGAAAGAAGTCGTCGCCCAGATTTGCATGTTAATTGCCTCCATCTCGCCTCCTGGTCTGAACAAAGTGCTGGATGTAAGTGGGAAAGGTGTTTACAGAAAGGCGTAAGTAAAACAGTGTGAGCTTTCGTTATGCCTCGACGGCTCCAACTTTGTGTTTGGAAATCAAAAGGAAGTCCAAGCGGATCCAAGAGACGCCCTGATATTTAAAGACAAGTTGAGGCGAACGTGACACATTATTCCCCAAAGCATAGAGAGGGTTCCATTGTGTCAAAATAAGTCACGTTTGTTTCCATGTTGTTGTAAACACTCGCCAGTCCAAATACGGAAGTCTGAATATAGGTGTAATATTACGTGTGAGCCCGGAGCAGTGCCGTGGATTTGATTTTTGCAGAGTCTTGTTTGTCGATTGCAGGCTGTGGGTGAAGAGGCGCTGTGGTTAGTGGAAGCCGTTCACGTCACTCTAGTGCTGGAGTTCTGCTCGTTTACCCGCCTGTGGGGCTGAGCCACACTCTAACAGAGAGAGAGGGAGAGAGAGCGAGGCAGGCAGGCAGAGGAACCACAGCAGCTTCAGCACCAAGCCAGGAACTCACCCTCCCCGTTCCGCATCGCTCCCCGTGCAGCAAGGCAGGAAAATGCTGAGCTCCAAGTAACATGACTGACAACTTTTCGGCATCATCACCAGCTTTGGAAACTCGACCAGAGCGGCTGGGGGTTCTGCACAAGTGAGGAGTGAGGGCGATAATCCTTCCACTGAACCCATGCGCTGGAACCGGAAAATCCATGCGGCTCCAGGGTTTGCTCGAAGATGAAGTTTGGAAGCGGCCCCTTGATCCTGAATGTTGGGGGAACCCGATATTCGTTCCCGAAGGACGTGATCAAGGACTTTCCCCTCAGAAGGGTTAGCAGACTTCACAACTGTGTCTCGGAGAAAGAGGTTCTGGAAGTGTGCGATGACTACGATCAGGAGAGAAATGAGTATTTTTTTGACAGGCACTCCGAGGCGTTCGGCTTCATCATGCTTTACGTTAAGTACGGCAAGCTCCGGTTTGTTCCTCACATGTGCGAGCTGTCCTTTTACAATGAGCTCATTTATTGGGGTCTGGACCGCTCGCACCTCGAATACTGCTGCCAAAGGCGACTGGATGATAGGATGTCCGACACCTACACCTTCTACTCCGAGGAGGAGGAAGAGCTGAAAAGGCAAAGGAGAAAGGAGTTAAAAAAGAGCTCCCCATCAAATAGGAAGTGGCTGGACAGGATGAGGAGGACTTTTGAGGAGCCCACCTCGTCTGTAGCGGCCCAGATTCTGGCAACCGTGTCGGTGGTATTTGTTATCGTTTCCATGGTGGTACTGTGCGCCAGCACACTACCAGACTGGAAAACAGCCGAGAACAACAGTGTGGAGGAGCACAGGTACACAGAAAATTTAATGGGACCATCAGGGTATCTATAACTCCTTCTTAATTTATGGTGTTAAGTTTCTCAATGGGTGTGAACGTCTTTTGTCTATGAATGCAGTTGCAAAGTTTTTATTTGTGTGACGTTAAAATCTGTGCTGTTGTTCTGTCTTTTTTTTCCAATTGTGTTTTGACTTCACAAAGCGAAACTTTACAAAATGCAACTCCCGGCGATGTGCAGCTAGGGCTCGAGTTAGAACGTGCTGAATGTAGAATGCCGGTTTCACATAAAGACACGACTGGGTAGTTTCCAAAAGTGAGAGCCAGCGCTAACTCAGCGGCTTCCAAGCCAGAAGCCGGTGGGTTCAATCCCCAGTCCAGCTGCTTGGGCGCATCTGATAGCTCAGAGCAGTACTGAGCGGGTGCTGCGCTGCTGGTGCCACCTCTAAATTCTGTGGACACAAACGGGAAGAAAACCGGGTGTCTTCGCCCTTATCTATCCCTTAACTCCTGGCTGTTTGTGGAATACAAATTTAGAGGTTATGTAGTTTTAACGTTACAACAGCTACAAAATTAATTTGGCGGGGGGGGGGGGCGTCTGGTCGTGAAGGATGGTACGTAATATAAATTTTGTTTTCTCTCTGCCTCTGCACATCGACCCTCTTCCTCGCACACCCTTTCCCACTGACACGTGTGAATGCATATCACACCAAGGGCCGCCAGATGCGCCTTGTATTTACAGGGTATCCCTCCTCGAACAAACCATATCAAATTTCACAAGGCGGAAAGCCAATCAGCCGACAACGTTTCCTCCTGCTTTTCTTCGGCGAGTCCGTCATGGATATAAAAATTAATGGAAGTTTCCCGCTGGATGCTGCGACTTGCTTACAAGGGCGAGATCTGTAATTATTGCCAAGGTGCAAAATGTAACACGGATTGGATGGGATTGAAATTATGTAGTCAATATTTCCCGATTCTATTTTTATATACACAACTTATGTCGAACATGAATTCGGGATTGCAATAAATGCAGGAGAAATGCTCTTGCTGGAAAAAAATGAATTTTTTCATAAAAGTCTCGTTCAAAACCATTCTCCTTCCAATCCTTGCTTTTGATACTCCCCAATGACAGGAACAATTCTTGCAGAACAAACGTCTTTCTTTTATATAACACCAATAATGGTCCTTCCATTTAACCAACAAATAAACATCAGTAAAATAAATGAGATCCAGAAACTCAGCAGTCTATTTCGTTCTGAACATCAAGGAATAAATTGCAACAAAAACAGAAATTGCTGAGAAAGCCCAGCAGATCTGAGAGTATCTGTGCAGAAAAAAGCAAAGTTAACGTTTCGGGTCCAGGGAACAATTTCAGGACTAAATTGCACTCTCGTCCAACGTAAAACATTCCTCTTCACACACCTCTCGGTATTACAGGTCTGATATGCTTCAAAACTTTCCCTCACTGAACTTCTCAACTGCTTCCTTGCAGTTCAAAAACTTTCTTACTGTGTTTGTTTTTAATGACTGCCGATCAAAATCCATGTGCGCCTAACATTCATTCCTCAGTTTTATTAAACATTCTCTAAGAAATGTCTCCCGAAATGACTGGCACACGCCCAGCGCCTCCTTTCTTGTGTGACCAGGGTGACAGGTCACAATACCTTGTCCAAGTTAATGTAAAAACCTATAGGTGATATAAAAAATCTTACTCGTGTCAAGTTGGACTAAGGTTGTGTCTTCAAGTCGCACTCTAGAGATTTGATCGCATCGTTCTAGGGGATAGCGCTGGCGGGAGAGTGGCGCCTTTGGAGATCCCAACTTTTGAGATGAGATGTGTGGACAGAAATGATCCTTTGGCATTTGAAGAAAACCGGGGTGCCCTGCCCAGTATTAATCCCTTGGCAAAAGTGGAACCCTACTCTGTATAAATTTAATAATAACTCAACAATTTTAGGGCCTAAACTCTCCCATGTCCCAGCCCCTCATCCCACACACCAGGCCCTGTTACCACATAGCCTGCCACTACACACACCCTGTTGTTAGTCACTAACAGTCCGCATTAACAACTACTCACTCTCCCAGCCTGATCGTTAGCAACTCCTTTGTCTGTCCAACTGTCTTTCTCTCTCTTTGGGCTCTATCCTATCGTTACTCCCAACCCCACCGACCTCCCTATTTTCTGCATATAAACTGACGTTTTCCCAGCCACTATCAGTTCTGGGGAAGGGTCACCGGACCCGAAACGTTAACTCTGTTTTCTCCTTCACAGATGCTGCCAGACCTGCTGAGCTTTTCCAGCAACTTTGTCGTTTTTCCTGTATAAATTTAGCTTTCGAGATTCCTGCGCTGTTTGGAGAGAACGCCTGTTAATTGAAGTACAAAATAATTGCAGTTAGTGCAATCTCCAACTGATTTAAAAGTTTCCAGGCAATATTCCCACACTCAGTTCTCCTAATGTGCTAGTCAATTCTTATCCCCCAGGGAATTTAAAAAAAAAGATCCTGTCATCGATCTATTAGAGCTTGGCTGAGACATTAGGGTAATCCAATTCAATAGCAGTAAAGTGTGTAAAGGTTGTAAAAGAAACTTGATTTTCTATATAGATTTATGGTGTATACACATAACATTGAAGTCTCTAGGTTTGAAGTCCCTCTTGGATTACATACAGGAATCTGTCCTATAGAAGTAAAATCAATTCTCAGTATTGGAATAAAAATTTGAAACAGAATATTACAAGCTTGACGGCATGCTTGAGAGTGCTGATGTTGACAATGTCTTCAGATTAGGTTCACACTGTCCGCGGCCAAATTTTCTTCCAGGAACAAAAGACAAATTTGAACGCACTTTGCTTAAAAGTTACTGTGGCCACCTTTATTGCAGACTTAGGTGAAAGGTGAAATAAAAGTCAGAGATTAGAAAAGAGAAAACTGAAGTCTTAAAATACACAAGGCTAGACGCAAACTTCGAGATTTGCTTCTACGATCAGGAACGTGGCTTGCTTTTTAGCACTCGATTCCCTATCAGGCGAAGTCGTTATTGACTTTATACAGGTTTGACTGTACGGAGAGTTAGCTGCTAGACAGGAGCGTCAAACAAATGCTGTGTGTTCCACTATGACTTGCATTAGTTTGTACTCTCGCATGAGTTACAGGGTATCTTTAACATTTCAGCCTTAAAGTGTTGTTTAAACCATGGGATGCTTATCGCCTGTCCAGGCCAGATGTTGTAGTGGAGGATAGCTAACATTAGGGGGCGTGTTACGGGAGTATAGCTTCTGTAGATTCTTGTTGTTGTGTTCCTTTGCCATTTCATCCACACACATTTCGTAACCTCTTTTTTTGCTGGTTTTACTTTTTTTTTCTTATTGTTGTCTATAGGATAATCGAAGCGATCTGCATGGGTTGGTTCACCGCCGAGTGCATTGTGAGGTTTCTCGTCTCGAAAAACAAGTGCGACTTTGTGAGAAAACCTCTGAACATTATTGACCTGCTGGCCATCACGCCGTACTATATCTCGGTGCTGATGTCCTTCTTCACCGGCGAGAACTCGCAGTTACAGCGGGCTGGGGTGACCCTCAGGGTCCTGAGGATGATGAGGATTTTCTGGGTGATCAAACTTGCTCGTCACTTCATTGGCCTGCAGACGCTGGGCTTGACTCTGAAACGTTGCTACCGGGAGATGGTCATGCTCTTGGTGTTTATCTGCGTCGCTATGGCGATATTTGGCGCCCTCGCCCAGTTGTTGGAAAGCGGACTCGACCTGGAGGATAAGAATCCAGCCTATGCCAGTATCCCGGCCTCCTGCTGGTGGGTGATCATCTCCATGACCACTGTGGGATATGGGGACATGTATCCTTTCACCATCCCCGGCAGGATCCTGGGAGGGATGTGTGTGGTCAGCGGCATCGTCCTGCTAGCGCTGCCTATCACCTTCATCTACCACAGTTTCGTGCACTGTTACCATGAGCTGAAATTCAGGTCAGCTCGCTGTGGCAGGAGTTTATCACTAGAATATCTGAACTGAGAGGGAAGTGGTGAGTGCGGAGAAGCTCGTGCGAGCATAAAGGGGCGATATACAGCAGCTGGGCCTAATGTGCCGTGCTGTCGCCATTGCAACCGTGTGGAGGTGACTGGGAATCCAGAGGCTGAGCATGAAGACACCGCTCAGATTGATACATTTATGGCTGGAAAACCTGATTTGGTGCCGCGGGCAATTGACATACTGAACTACAAATGCTCTCGGATCAAATTTCACGGCTTCAGGCGCGATCGAATGTCAACTGGCAAAGACCTGAAGCTGTTCACATCTGTTGGTTAAAAATAGAAATAAGAACATTCTCAGACCTGAGGAATGGGTAAACATCTTGATTATTTATAAGATAACTCACGTGGCTCGAAGGTCACGAAATAACTTCTAAACACAGCTGAACTTGCTGAGGTGAAAGGGAATAACAGGAATGAAGGAAGACTTTTGTTCATTTGCCGAACATCACTAGATACAGAATAATGGTTCTCACAGACGGTGGACATTTGACTCTTGGTGCAGTGAGAAAGCTCACCATGTTATCTGAAAGCTCAGCCATTTCAATGTTTGCACTAAAACCGATTTCAACCAATAAGGTCCAATCATGTGCACTCACGCCTCTGGTTAGGCTGTAGAACGTACCAGGAACAGTCTGAGTGGAACTCAATGGAAAAATAATGGAAGACGGCTGCTCATTTCGAGGCTACCTTTACCAGCCCGCCTATAGCAGCTTTGCCGTTAAACTTGGCGACAGCGGACAAACAGTAGATTAGTCTTAGGGTAAGCTTCAGCAAATTAAAAAAAGCGCTTCATTTTCGGGTATAACGCGAGCAGTGTTAGCTGACTATCTCAAAAGGTTAGGGGGAAGGGAACGTGCTTATGCAGTGGGAATAATCTCTTCCTAGTTCCTGTCAAGTATTTCTAACAAATGGCTCCACAATGGGAACCAAATTTGAGTCTTCTTTTCAGAAGAAGCTTCTATTCTTGAGCTGGGCAAGAGCTGAGTCGCATGCATTAACCTGACATTTAGAGGTTTGAGATAAGAAACGAAATGATTATCTTTGGCACACATGTGTACTCAGTATGGGACCAGCGCATTGGGAATTTATTACTTCCCGTCGTTTCTGGTCCTCCTAGATTAGGTGCCGCACGAGTTCCAGGCCATGCCGAGCTTTCATATACTGTTAATATGTTGCTAAATACCAGCGGCAGAAGAGTACAATTCAGCAACTTTTGACTTTTTGTTTAATGTAGCACCCATGTTAAAGCTATCCCCCCATTGTCCTTTAAACTAAGAGGCTAGATATTTCAGTTATTTCCGAGGGCAGTTTAGACAGCCACAATACTGTAGGTGTGGAGTCACATGTAGGCAGACCCATTAAGGAGAGTAAATTTCAATGCCTAAAGAACATTAGTAAACAGTGGGGTTTTTAAACAATTGACGATGGTTTCATGGTACCTTTACCGAGATTCCCTTTATAGTATATTTCAGATATAATAATTGAATTCCACCACTGCGATGGTGGGATTTGAACCCACCTCCATAGAACTTTGGCCTGGACTCCTGGTCCAGTGACATTACCACTACCATTGGCAACAATTATGCTGAACTTTGAGGTAAATGCTGAGGGGCCACACGCTTTGGCAGTGGAAGACAACCTAGAGCCAACCTTTCCCCCTATCTTTAGTAAGCGAGAACATGCTTTACTTTTGTTCCTGAAGTTAGCTTCCAAACCAGGAAACGAATTCTTCGATCGATCCTGTGTTAAAGGATTATTAAGTGGGCATCTGCACCCACAAGTCCAGCTAAACAAAAACAGTATCTTTGAAGATTGTTGGCGGCTCTTTTTAAACGATTCCAGCAGTTGCAGGTAACAAAATACAAATCAAGCAGTACCAACTCGAAATGCTTCCCCGGGAAGTGTCAGCACCTTAGCAGCCAGCTACTACCCAGTATTAAGACACGCGTTTGCCCTCATGAAGATCGAAGCGCGGTAGAAGCGGTGAAGATTTCAATGGAGCAGAGGGCGCCGTGGGCGAGTGGCTCCAGACTGGCCTGGGCAGCGATGGAGGATTCTCCTTGGAGTGTTAGAGGTCAGCTCAGCTCACATTGGAAGGGAATGCGGGAAGGGAGGAGAAAGCACCGGTAGATTTCGGTCCCATTCGGTCCCTTACGACGAGATACTGTCGTAAATTCAAGTCCGTTTTTGACTCTTGTGAGAAGTCTTTGTTTATTTTGGTCCTTAATATTCTGTTTTTCAGTGTATACAGAAAATTTATTTTAAAATATTAAAACTGTTTGCTATAATGTGCCCGCAGCTTCTACTACTTAGTTTGTAATTTTATAGCAGTTGTATTTTCTATATGAGCTGGACACTCGCTTTTTTATTTAAAAACAAATGTGGAACAATTATGGACGAAATAAACAGGAGAGAAAGAAAAAGGTTTCAACGTTCGATTAAAAACGCTGCAAATCTAACTGATTTAGGATTGGCCGCTTCTTGAACTTAGCTCTTAGTAGCGAGTATTTGTGGAGATTTTGGAATGGAGTTTGACCTTGGCAGCTGGTAGAATGATTAAGCAAAGCTCTTTCTAGGCGTTTGTACTTTACCTGCTGCTAAATGCACTATTTCAACTGTGATATCAAAACTGCAAAGAAACTCTGTAATTTCCACGGATACCGTGTGTCTGCAGGTTTGGCAAATATCATCTTCAGGAAATTAAGTTTAGCAAACTGATGATAGACTGGAACTAAGCAGAATTCCGTCTGCATTTTGCTTTTAAAATCTCTATACATACATATATTTACACGGGGAACTGTCTACATGAATGTCCGACACTCAATGGGGAGAAGGGTGTGATGTAACATGTCACATTTTTATTTGTTCTTGGGATGCGACTATAATGGGCAAGTCCACCCCAACAGCCTTTGAGAAGATGGTGGTGTTTTATTTTTTGACTGTGGTGGTTTCATACAATCTAGAGGTGTGCTCAGCCAACTGAAAGGGTAGTTTAGATTCAACCATTTTGCTGTGGGTCTAGAGTCACATGGACACCTGTCAAGTAAGAAGGGTAGATATCCTACCCTAAAGGGTTAGGGTTAGGTACCAGATATGTGCTCTTTTTGGACAAAATTCTGGTAATCTTACTGTTAATTAATTAAAGTAGCATTTTATTCCAGGTTTATTAATTACATTTGAAGAGAAAGCTGCAATCGCTTTTTCAAGGTTTTGGCTAATATTCTACTTCATTTCTGATTGGAATTGGGGATGTCTTCTTGTTGCTAAAATAAAAACGGAAAGTCCCTGGTGCTACTCAGCATCTCTGGCAGTACCTGCGGTGAGTGACAAATTGAGTATGACTCTTCCTCCTCTTCTACTGAAGAAGCAGCTTAACTCAAAACGTTAACTCTATTTCTCCCTCCACAGATGCTGCCAGACCTGCTGAGTTTCTCTAGTATTCTCTGTGTTTGTTTCAGATTTCTAGCATCAACATTATTTCACTTTCATTGTTGTCTCTAGTTCTGTTCAATTTCTCTGTTCTTCTTTCTCTTGTTCTCATGCTTCTCTCCCCTCAACATTTCCCTTTGCTTTTCTCTGTTCTTTTTTTGAAAGATCTTCTTTCCTTTCAAAAAGGAAATGTGGCAAAAAAAAAACCCAACTGGTTTAATGTGGGATGGAAATTTGGGTAAACTGTTACCTCAGTCGCTCATTCCCCATTCCTCTCTCATCCAAAATCACACATTCTTCTTCCCTTCTCTTCATAACCCCAAACTTCACCCTCCCAATATCTTCTGCGTGGCATTTCCTCACTACTATTACCACCCCATTCTTTCCCTTTTAACAGAGTGCTCACGCTCCCTGTGGACGTGATCTCACTAAAATCGACCCCAATGATTATATGTCCATGACATATTAGGTATTGGATTTATTTCTTTATCACACTAACTTATGAGCAAATGTGAGCAAAGTCATAAATGAAGGTTTTGTATTCAGACAACAGCAACAATTCACAAATTTGTAATGTATTAATTGCATTTAAAGGTTAATTATAATTCAATGATAAGCAAATATGTTAAAAAACAGACTGAAATCCCTCAACATCATTTTCTGTCACATTTTACTCTTGCTGATATGACTAATGCTTAGGTTTCAAATGCAGAAAGAAAATGAGGTGGTTTATTGATAAAGAAACAGCTGAAACTCATTAAAATCTTTAGACATCATCTCTGAAACCTACTGGGGGTAATTATTGCAGAGTCGCTTTGATTTGGAAGCCCTTCATAAATGACAGCTGGGACCTTAATCTGAGATTGCTGACATCAATCCCAGGATTTCCGATTTTTGGGAGTATCGATTTTGATGGCAGACCCACTGCCAGCACACCCGACCAACTTGTTCTCATAGATTTGCAATTGGTTTTTATTAAAACAAATGGGTAGCATAATATCAGAGATGTCTTGAATCATAGTCTGCATCAGGGAACGCAGTAAATTCACAACCCCATGCCAAGGAATGACCCCCCTCAGATAAACCATATGGCATCCATACCCCCGTGCCAATGTATAACACTTTCATGCCAATTCACCCACTATACATTTTGCAGCTGCATTCAACTCATTGTGAGAGCTGGATGGGTTTAAAAAGTTAAGATGGATTCATTCATAACTTTTTGCCACGTTATGAAAGTGGGGCTGCAGTTGACTCCCCTGCAAAGGTCTGAAAGTACTAGCAGTTTCTCTCAGGTGAATGACGCTGACATTCTAGCAGCTTCAAGACACACTTATGGTGTTCCACTTTGAGCTCACATTTCTAATATCAAATTTTGGCAGTGCATTTTGGTGTCATATTAAAATGACAGTAGTTCAGAACTCAAACAAGAATAAAGTAATCAGGAAAATCTACCAAACAATAAAACAAACCAAAATAAATCATTTAGACAATTCAAAATTCTTTCAGAAGCAACATAGCAGAACTCTGCAATTATCACAGGTAATGAAAATTTATTAAAGCAAAGGAAAACCAGAATATGAAGCAATCAAACAGACCAAAATATTTCATAATTTTTCTTTACAACAAATTCAAATATTCAGAGTACAAGTTAAAAAATGTAATAGGCTAAAAGTAAAAAACATTGACAATGAATAAAAGGATAATATAGGTTGAAGTCTTTCAATGCAACTGGGTATGATATTTCCCACAAGATTTGTTTAGCTTCATTGTTATAACTGGATTGAAAGCAAGCTGGATGATCACTTTAAAAGTCTTTTTGAGTTAAAACTATTCTTTGGGATATATACTTTACTTAAAAAGGATGTCTCACAGCCATGGAGTGAGAGAATGGAGACATAAAATGGGCGAGTAGAGCACCAAACGTCACTTCATTGTTACCAAAAATTCAAAACACTTGTACTAAAGAAGTCAATCTGAATGTTCCCCAACCGTAAACCTTGGATGAATCAGGAAATCCACTCCCTACTGAAGATCAGATGTGCAGCATTCAAGTCAGATGACCCAGACCAAT